GTTATAGTTTTTTATACACGTATAAATAAAATATATGTAATCAAAATTTGAAGCTAGGAAAATTTTATTAACAGTATGTATTATGGTATACGATATTTTCACATGAACATTTTTGAGATCCTTCCATATTCATTAGATGGTTATGAACATATATATATATATAGTACATTCTTACATATTATATCAAATTTAAAAAAACTACAGATTCAATGCTAATGGATAAAATATTGTTGGTAAAAATAATTATTTTCTGGAATATGTTTCCTCTTTTACTATACATGTTCATTAACGTACGGTAATATTTTTTCTCTACTAAGTACTCCTACACTCCTTTAGACATACATAATAAAATTAAAAATGAATAAAACATGATTATCAAAGCTTGTACAGTGTACACTATACACGCTTTAAGTGAAAGCACCTGGTCTTACAGCAATTCATTCAAACTATAATTTTAATAAGATTATCGGTTATACAAAAAATATACTCAAAAAGTTTCAAATATGCAATAAAATTGTATTCTAATAAAGTTGTAACAAAGACGAGTAAGTTTTAATTTTTATATGTGAAATTCAATAATGACAACATATTATCTAGTCCATTGTAATTTATAAAAACAATTAATATTATGATTTATTTTATATTGTTTTATAATATAATAATATATCCTCAATTATTGTCTACAAGCAATTAATTTTTGAAATTTATCGAAATTTATCATTTTTTTTTTTTTTTTAAAGAATGAAATACCTTGCTTTACGAATAATTATTGAACATTTCAAGTCTCTAGTAGTAGAATGAAAACTCTCAAATTTAAACTCAAATTCCTCACACATCAATGAAAAATATGTTTTTTTTTTTTTTCATTTAAAAAACATTATGTTTTCTATTCAAAATATTTAAATAATGTATCAATATTAATAAATTAATACTGATTAGCAAGTCGTTTTCAAAAATATGTTTGTCAAGTTTGAGTTTTTAAAAGACAAAAAAAAAGCTCTCATAAAAATACACACACATACAATAACAATATATGTTGCACCACAATAGTATAATATAATAACCGTGGTTGTCCTGTGCTATAGACGATTTGTTAAAATATCCTCTTTTTGCGACCAGTGTGATAAAGATAAGACGATGTTCGCGCGTTCGGTTCAGTTATTTTCCAACAAACGTATCAGCTGTAAACGATGGCGACGGACCGACGATTCATCTATTATTATTACTATTATCATCATTATTTATATTACATAATATATAACAGTTTATATTGTTATTATTATTATTATTATTATTATTATTATTATTATCATTAAACTATTATTACTAAGTTATAATAGCAGCGTTATAATGTGCATTTGTGTTCACAGCTTATCTCATGTGATTTTTCGCACATTTTCGGCAAATCAACTTGCTATAAATTATAATATCTGAGCGTGCGCTATTTTTATTATATTTTTCTCCCTTTTTGTGAGATACATTTTGTACAAAATGGATTACATATTACATATAGAAATACACCTTAACCAGGATATATAGTAAAAATATATGTGTTATTTGTAGACAATATTATGAACTGAATGATAATAATTTTTTACTATGTAGTAATATGTACCTACATTACAATTTTATTATTTTATATCAACTGATCTGGTCGATAAGTTAATAGTTTTGATTTTGAACGCGTGCATATACGTTGATGTTCAAATTATTATCATGTCATAATACCTACTTCAATTATTATTAAATTATAAAATATTTATAACGACACGTGTGAATTGTAATCAAACATGTGTGAATCCCAAAAAATTAAGCCATTAAAAAATGTCTCTGTATTTTAAAACATTTCTCTGAATTCAGAGTTTCGCATTTAATAAAACTATTCGATCCGAATTCCAATTGTCTAAACACAAAATGAAAAATAAACAAATACTTCGAACATTTCAGTATTACTCAAGTTTTAGGTTGTAGTTTGACATTTTCGGCGTTTTTAGTGGTTTTTTTCTTTCTTTTATTGTTTGTTTACAATAAAGCTTTAGAAAATTCGTAATTTTAAAATACTCGAAATACCACGAAAACTAGTAGGAGTCGTATCTTTCTGTATATATTATATGTATAAATTAAAGAAAAAACAAGAGAAATGTGGCCAAAAAAAAGGATTCATAAATGTGTATCTTATATGATATAAAACACCTATGAAATTGTTATGGTAAAAATACAAACTATTGCGTACGTCTTTCATTTTACAATATTTTTTTAAAACAAAAAAAAAATTATTATTTATTTTAAAACCAATTTAGTGATTCAATGTTTTTCGTATCAATACGTAACAGATTACACCAAATATAAATACATACCTCCCTACCTTATTGCCACATTCATTTGACAAATGATTGTTTGAAATAGATTACAACAAACACCCATGAAACGTGTTTAAAGAAGCTGTTTAACTATATGTATTTTTCTTAAAGATTTCCACGGTTAATGTACTTCCACAACCACATAAATTCGTACACAGTAAAATTTCGTGAATAAATCATACACGTTATTATTATTATTATTATTATTATTATTATTATTATATTCTGCGACGTAATTGAACACAATGAATGTGTTAAATTCACTATTCGATAGAAAGTAAAATTATTTAATATTCAATTGAATAATTTGTTGCGCTTCAAAAAGTCTTAAATCGAGTAATTTTGAAATTATAACTATTCGAGTAATAATAATGAAATCCGTGCAGGCACATGCATATATGTAGTTAACCAGTATCTAAATTTAAATCTTACTACTCTGTTTAAAACAGATTGTTTCTGTTATCATCTAGTTGAATAAATAAAGACCTATGCATCCAATTTTCATAAAAATTAAAGTATATACCGTTAAATAAATAGATACATTCACATCATGCACTATCTGCAATTATTTAACTATTATGTATTTGTAATTTGTATACCATTTCGATAATTACGGAAGTAAACTTTTGTAAACCAATATAGAATTACGTTTCACGGAGAATATTTCATTATGATTCAACGAATTTTTCAAAGAGAAATAATGGCTTAAAAATTCGGAAATAAATTCCTTTGACAAATGTCTAGAGTCACTCATGTTGTCAAAGTAGAAAAAATAAAAAAAAATTAAGAAAAATTACTAAAACGCACCAAACCAATAATTAAAATAACTTTTTATTATTATAATTAGATATGAATATTTTTTAACTTTTTACTATTTAAATTGTTTGTAATACACCTTACGCGTGTAGTGTACGTGAACATAATACTTTCCGTGTAAAGACAAATATCGCGCAAGACAAACCAGTCAGAAATATGTTTAAATCCTACAAGTTTTCCTAAATGTCAATTTTATATTTACACGCGTACTATTTCATAAACGAATGAAACAGCCCGTTCCAATCTCGCATTAAAACGCGAACGTCTAAAGTAGCCTAATGTTCCACCAAGTACATCACTTTACTAAACTGTACATACGTTTATGCCGAATTAAACAAACATAACACTAAGAAAATAATAATGAATCAATAGTGCGATAAATGATCAATCAAACATTATTTTGTGCGGCCCATTAAATCAAACACATTTGTATGCAACTCAACATTAGCATATTATTGACGGCACGAATCAACATCCTCTGCGACCACCTACGCATTTTGTGACGACCACCACATACGAACGCATCAATAAATATTACTGCAATTATTGCATAACTTACTAAAAACAACAAAAAGGCGTGTAATGATGTGCGTCTAAGCGATCATATATAATTAAAATTAAATATTTGAATACAGTATAATAAAGTAATTTAAAATAATTATGATAACCGATAGTTATAAGTTGTTAGTATTAAATAAGATAAAATTATAAGAACAATAGATAGCACACGTACACACACACACACATACAGGACATTAGTTAAAAAAAGGCCGATCAAAGGGCAGTGTTCTTAGGTACCGTCTTTTTTTATAGACGATCACAAACAAGTGTAAAAGACTACGCAGATCGGATATACAAGAAGACGTAAGTGTTAAAATTATTTATAGTTAAAATTAAATATATGTAAACTAATTCATGTATTGAAAAATTATAATAAAGTTTAATAAATGTACTTGAGTAAAGAAAGTCTTGTAATTATTTAATATATACTGGTTACCTTACTACATACTCAAAACCTTCACTACAGCATCAATAGAGAAGTCGCTGTCAGGAGAAGAAAGGTAATATACTGATTAGTGATTTGTAATTAATTTAAACTTATAATTGAACACCCCGATATAACATATATTTTAAATTATTACAGGCGTATCCATTTAAATCAAGTATATTACTTTTTGTCCTAATTTGACAGCGACGGTTAATAGTAAAAAAAGTATACGAAATGCATTTTTTTTGATTTATTGTGCAGTTACCTGAATAGTACAAATAAATTTTCAATATTTTTTTTTTTTTTCAAATAAAATTAACATAGCAATTCAACTGCATGGAATTGTTAATACTTTTAATATAATGCTATCCGTTATGGTGGTGTGGTCTTTAATATTAATTTTGATTCAAATATCAAATTCTATTCCAAGATCTGGAGATCATATAAATAATATTATTTGGAAATGCGTTCTCGGCCAACTCGTTAGCGGCTCCATCTGGACGACGGATAGTATGCACTCGGCCGTCTCTGTCGAAATATCTCCTCCGGACACGATCAAAGTGGCAGTACAATTTTTTGCCGATAGAGAACGCCGAACGAATGACTGCCCTCCGATCGGTCCACCGACATCCCGACATTTGGTGGACAGACGTTGGCGTGTAACTTGTATCAACCACCCTATTTGGAGGTCTAGATGTCAAAAACGATACCCCTGACTGCCCGGACGAGGAATAACCACTAGAGAATTGGTTACCGTGGACATAGTCGGATGTGCAACTGTACATCGACCATAATTATGGAACAGAATTAGATGGTCCCAAACCGAATTTATCATTAGCTTTGCGCAGTGGTAATATCGTAACCAATGAGGTTCATCGGAGGTGCGATTTTTGCTAGTTGAAAACTTTAACCGATACCCCGCCGTGTGGACATGAAACGGGTGGACTGTGTTTGCGCCTAAATACTGCATTTGCGCCTATATGCAAAAACCTTTATTGCGCTTAATAAAATTAAAATACGTTAAAATACTTGTTTGCGCCCATTTACGTTACAAATCAATAAATTTGGCAACAACGTTTTCCCAATTATTTTCATTTTTTAACCATTCTGCTACATTGGAAAATTTAATTTCTATATCAGTCGTGACTCGATATACCTTCATAGGCACTTATCTTTAATCATATCTAACGTTTTATCTTTGCTATAGATAATTTTTATTACCTAGATAGTCGATATACAGTATTTCTGAAATCTCGACTGCAAGTTAATCAGTCGTTGCCGTACTTCATTTACATTTCAATTACACATTTCTGTTTGATGTATTGTTGTTTCAAAAATGTCAGAAAATAAAATTATATTTGCAAAAAGTGCAAGTAACAATTTTAAAGATTTACTTATTATCGACAGTTTTAAATTTAGAAAAGTTTATGAAAGTATATCTGGTAATGTAACTTGGCGTTGTACAATGAAATCGTGTTTAGCAAGACTAATTAAAAATGGAAATGTAACTGTAAGTAGCAATTTAAATCATAACCATAATACTGATATAAAAAAATTAAATCGTCAAATTATTCGAAGTGCGTGTAAAAAAAGAGCCAAAGACATGACTGATCGCCCAATTCAAATTATACGTTTTGAAATTACAAAGAATAATTTTTACACGTTAGATTACGGTGACGTTAAATTAATTCGTGACAGAATGTACCCGTGTAGAAACATACAAACAAATATTCCAAAAAACATTGTTGAAGTTCAAGAATTTTTAGTATCAAAAAATATATTATCATCTAAAGGAGATTGTTGCAGTAAATGATATAGAAAAAAATATTGTGATTTTTACCTGTACCACAAATTTGCAATTTTTAAATTCGGTTAATACTATATACGTTGATGGTACATTTACTTATTTCACACAATATTTTTGTCAACTTTTTACAATTCAAGGATTTTATAATAATCATTACATACCTCTGGTGTTTTGTTTGTTACCATAAAAATGTGGTGAAGTCTATGAGTATGTATTCGAAAATATTAAGCGTTTATGTTCAAATTTAAACTATGAGTTTTGTCCTGTTAAATTATATTCTGATTTTGAAAAAAGCATTTTAAACTCTGCATCTAATATTTGGCCTGAAATAAAACTTTCCACCTGTAGATTTCACTTGGGGCAATGTTGGTTCAGAAAAATTCAAAGTCTTGGATTAACAAATATGTACAAATCTAATAGTCCAGAAGGAAAATGGTTACAATATTGTTTCGGTCTTTCATTTTTACACCCACAAGAAGTATCAGATTGCTTTTTAGAACTTATGTCTGAAATTCCAGTAGAAAAAAAAATACAATCATTTGCTGATTATTTAGTTGACAATTTTATAAGCGAAGATAGTCTATTCCCTCCTGAATTATGGGCAAAAGGTTGTAATAATGTAACACAGACAACAAACGCATGTGAATCATTTCATAAAAATTTTAATTCATATTTTTTTAACGCTCATCAATCAATCATAAAATTTGTGGAAGTTTTAATAGAATTTCAAACAGATACATATTTAAAAATAAATCTTGCTAGAACAACAATAAAACAAACAAAAAATAAAGCAGTTACAAAAAAACACCAGGATATTAACAATTTAAGAGATACATCAATATCACCAATTAATTTCATAAAAAATATAAGTAACAAAGTCAAAGTAACGCGAAAAATTTTAATTTTAATTTATTAAAAATATAATAGGTACAATAAAAAATAATTACGACGCAACAAAACAGTAAAGAAACATTTTTAACCACACCAGAATAATCCAATAAATTTTATTCTGTCAGTTCGAAGTCTGAAAAAAGTGGGACGAGAAAATTAAGTTTTACTGCAATGTTGCCAAATTTATTGATTTGTAACGTAAATGGGCGCAAACAAGTATTTTATAACTTATTTTAATTTTTTAAGCGCAATCGAGGTCTTTGCATGTAGGCGCAAATACGGTATTTGGGCGCAAAAACGGCCCTCCCCATGAAACACTGTTCGCTCAGGGAATTTTTAAAGGCCCTCATGGGCTCATATCACTAAAATATCAATCGTGTATCGAACACGGACAAAGGCACATTCGGTGACAATGACATTGTTCGTGATTAATAAAAGTAAATTGTTATCTCGTTGACTTTTGAAATGCTCCGATGGCATTTTTAATTCTTTACTTTCACTGATGTAGAGATAAGCAATTCTCGATAATGAATCGGTGACAAAAATTCAGAATTGTTGTGTTTGTACACACTTGGAAGTGAATAAGCTATTGCGGCCATAGTCAATAGTCATTTTTAATTAACAATTCGCTGATAAATGATGTAATTCGCAATTTGGTCTGAATAATTTGCGTATATTCGAATTAAATAATATGATATTAATTAATTATTAAGATGATATATAGGTATAACGAACGGTCCGGACGGATAATACGTTGCAAGAAACGAATTTAAAACATATACGCTGTAAATAGTAATACACTAATATAATAATGATCCTGACGAAAATCATTGATAACAAGTCTCAATACAAGCGAATAATCCTCTGTTTTTCACTTGCGATCTTGTTCACTAGTACTTGACAGTACCCTACTGTAGCTTCGTCTATTTAAACTCTACTTTGTCAGCAATAATTGCCATTACTCATTGTCCTGTATCGATTGATTCATAAATCGAAAAAAAAAAACAAATTATTTCAAAAATTTTCAAAAAATATTACATTTATTAATATTTATATAGTTGTAATTTGTAAATCGTCACAAAACGGTATTTTTTTTTTATTGTCTAAACTTTTATTTTCTATAATTATGACATGCATTTTAATTCTTCGTTTTAAAGCAGAATATTTTTCACGTTTTTTCGTTACCTAAAAACCAAATTTTAGAAGAGCAGTTTTTAAGTTATACCTAGTACTAATGTATTTTTAACATGTTTAACGACGCTGCGAAATCATGAACATTGCCGCCTATAAAAAAAAAATAATAACAAATGTCGACTCTTATTGATATAATCAGCAAAAATAAACGCATATATAACGTAAACCATATTTCGGTTCCAGGTTTTGACTTGTAAATGGTAATGACTAATGAGCTAATGTTTTAAACTTATTATATGTAATTATGGACTGAGTTAACAATAAGTGTGTTCAGAATTTTTTTTTTTTTTTGAAGGGGTAAAAAAAAAATAAAACAAATTAAATCTTTTTAAACTTTGTGAGTTTTTCATTATAATTATTTTTATTATTATTTTATTACTTTTTTTACGATTTGTTTTACAATTATAGTAGAAGTTTAAATATGTAAATATTTATATTTTTAAAACTATAAATATATATTCATTTTTTTTTTTTTGTTTTAATATTTTGACAAAATCATCAATCTAAAATATTGTTTTTTAATTCTTTGCTCATTTTACTTAAGGTGTTAAATGAATAATAAAATGCTAATAAAAAATATATAATTTTATAAATGTTATCATTACAACACAATAGTTATTCCGCGATCGGTGTAATCCTACAGACTACAGAGTACAGACTGATTGGTGACTGAATAAATATTTCAGCATAGAAATATTACTATGAAAAACGTTATCGAAATTCAAAAAAAAGTCTTGACTAGAAATATTTGAGTTTTGAACAATTATTGTAAATCGTGGAATGGTTGGATGATTATAAAAAATTTATAATATATACCTTTACACTTTACAGGTATACTATAATAAAAAATAGTAAAATGGTAAAATAATCTACTATTTAAAACAATATTAAATTTATGACTCACATAATTAATTGTTCATTGTATACGATGTTTGGTGGCGACGATGGGTGGTTTCTAGGAATACTGACCGAAAACGATTCCAGATTAGACTCACACACACTTATATTCGTTTACATTTCACACACTTACAAGTCACTTAAATTCGTGTTATATTGCCTATATTAATTTCCTTAAAACACAACCTGCTGCGGCCTCCTTAATAAAAAAAAAAAGCAAGAGGTTTATGAATTCGCCTAAAAATGTCATATTTTTATAGAAACGCAATGTTATACACATTTTTGTACTTTATAAAAACTGGATTAACTAAGTGTATTCATACTCTATAATACATATTTGTAGTGGATTTACATTAATTATAATTTTAATCAAGATTAATAATAATAATAACATTAAATTAACATTTAAGTAGCAAACAAACAGCAATTCTGCAGCTGACTTTTTGAAAAATGCGAATCGTTTCACAAACTTTAGCTGTAATGTTTTATATAATTTTTCATTTTTTCCTTTGTAGTAAACTATATATTAATATACGTATAATATATATAAATAATGATATTGTGATCCCGGAAGGTATTCGCATTGCAATAATAACAAATTCGATGATATTTAACTTTTATATTTAATGTTTTCGTTCAATCTCATTTCGTAAGTAAAAAAGTCTTAGGTAAAATATACGCTTTAGTTAAAAGTTGTAATGTAAGTGCATCTCATCTTTTGTTGAATTTCAACAAAAATCCCAGTAATCCAGGAATATTGCTCGGAAATAATAAGAGTAAAACACAGTCATTGCATAAACGTAACACTTATCTTCGATACCAATTGATTAACATTGTTTATTGCATTCTAATGTAATAGAATTATTATTCTTACGACTTACTCGATATATTTTTTCATAATTTTATTCTTAAACAAATGTAACCTATATAAATATAAGTGATAGCTTAAGCCTTAAATTGAGATTTTTAAATAGTATCAAAAAAAATAAATCAATCACACAAATTTAAAAATATTATAGATTTGATTTTTGTATACTTGCGAGAAACCACGCGTCTTAAAGAAACACGCAACAAAAACCTCTAGTTGTATAAACAGCCAGTGACTCATTTAATATACATTATTACTATTTTATTTATTTAGTGTTTTTAAATAAAAAAAATTTTGTTCTTTTATTCTACTATAACATGTAGTTTAT